AATGAAAAGATATAACATGACCACTTCAATGAAAAGATATAATCAACAATAAAAGTCTAGGAAGGGATCATCTTTAAAATAAAATTTGCCTAAATTCTTTTCCTTCAAAAATAGTGGTCTTTTCAAAAATCAAAAACCTTTGCAAAATGACCTCACTAAACACTTCTCTGCCTAGGACAGAACCCAAATTATGTTGATCTAGCTATTCCTCTCTCTCACACAAACACACATTATTATTTCTAACCCTTCTCTGCCTAGGACGAAACCCAATTAAATTGCAAAGGAACTCCATTTCTCTAACCCTTCTGACCGAATGCTCTAAAATAAAATTATCCTCTAACCTAGCCAACCTACTTAACCTAGCTTGTTAATCCAACGAACCTAATTAGCCTACCTATTTAACCTAGTTAGTTAATCTAGTTTACCTAGATAATTAATCTAATTAAACTAGTTAACGCAGCTAGTTCTCTATCAAAGCCCTAAATGAATTTTTGCACTAATTAACCTAGATAATTAACCTAATTAAACTAGTTAACCTGACTAGTTATCTGTCAAAGCCCTAACTAAAATTTTGCACTAACCTAGATAATTAACCTAATTAAACTAGTTAACCTAACTACTTCTCTGTCAAAGCCCTAACTAAATTTTTGCCCTAACGTAGATAATTAACCTAATTGAACTAGCTAACCTATGCATGAGAGAGAGAGGAGGGGTGGGGGCTTACAGAGGATGGCTCCGGTGGTGGCGAGGGAGGCAGTGGCGGCGAGAGAGGCAGGGGCGTCTCCGGTGACAGCGAGAGAGGCAGTTGTGGCTAGGGAGGATCCGATGGCGTTGATGAGGCTGCACGGCTCCATGGCGTTGGGGGCGGCTCCGGTGGCGTCGACGGCGCACGACTTTGGTGGCGTCGACGTCGGCAGGAGACGGCGGGGAAGTGGGGCGACAGCGAATCGGGGAGACGGCGGCGGGGTGGGTCGAGGGATTTGAGGGAGAAGTGGTGGCCGGGGGGAAGCGGTTTTTTGGTTAAGTCAAACTTAGCGGTAGCGCGTTTCGTAAAACGCGCTATAGCTACGATAACTATAGCGGTTTTTACAAAACGCGTTGCTGCTATAGCAATGTAATTTTCTTTCATTTTTTAATTTCCTTTTCTGTTTCTATAGCGGGGGTCTAGGACACGCATTGCAGCTACGTTATCTATAGCGCCTCTTACTAACACACGCTACTGCTATGCCTTCCTCTGTTTTTTCGCTTTTTCATTTATTTTGCTTTACATTTTATTTTTTCCTTTCTCCTTTTTCTATTTCTTTCATTTTCATTTACTTTTCTATTTGTTTTTCATCTTATTTTATTTTCATTAGTAGTAGCACTATTCGTAGGAAACGCACTATTACTTATGCCCTAGCGGTAGCGCGCTTCTTCCAAGCCCGCTACTGCTATGCGTAGCCTATCATTCTAGCGATGGGAATATTAGTAGTATCGCTTTTGCCACTACACGCACTACTGCTAAGATTGTATCTGTAGCGCGGTTTTTTCTCAATCGCTACTGCTATCTAGCAATAGCGCTCTTTTTTGACCCGCGCTGTTGCTAAATTTCTGTGTATAGGCTTTTCCCTAGTAGTGCTTCAATGTGGTGGTGTACACTTCTCATTTGCTGCACCGGTGTGAATGTCGGGTAGGCAGATGACCGTCAGTCGGAATGCGAGTAGTCAATCGTCCGGTCACGTTCGCTTTGATAGGCATGAAAGCAGCGAGGGTTCCGAAGATGCGGTGGAGGGTTTTTTGGTGTGTCCTGGGCGTTGAAGTCTGACG